CCACCATGCCCAGCTAATTTTTTTGCATTTTTTTAGTAGAGGTGGGGTTTCTCCATGTTGGTCCAGCTGGTCTCGAACTTCCGACCTCAGGTGATCTGCCTGCCTTGGCCACCCAAAGTGACGAGATTACATGCGTGAGCCATCATGCCCACCTTAAGAAGATATTTTTATGCCCAGTTTAGGATAAGGAAGGTAACTGACTACCTTAGGTAACTTGCTCAAGGTCATGTAAGAAGCTAAGAAGCAATAGAGCCAGGATTCACATCCAAGCCTGTCTGATTCTAAAACCAGCATTCTCGGCTGGGCGCGATGGCTCATGTCTGTAATCCTAGCACTTTGAGAGGCTGAGGTGGGCAGATCACCTGAGGTTGGGAGTTTGAGACCAGCCTGGACAACATGGTGAAACCCCATCTCTACAAAAATATGACAATTAGCCGGGCATGACAGCAAATGCCTGTAATCCCAGCTACTTGGGAGTCTGAGTCAGGAGAGCTGCTTGAACCTGGGAGGCGGAGTTTGCAGTGAGCCGAGATTGCACCATTGCACTCCAGCTGGGCAACAGAGCAGAGTGCAGTGGCATGATCTCAGCTCACTGCAAACTCTACCCCCCAGGTTCAAGTGATTCCCTTGCCGCAGCCTCCCAAGCAGCTGGGATTACAGGTGCCTGCCACCACACCCAGCTAAGTTTTATATTTTTAGTAGAGCTGGGATTGCAGTCGTGAGCCACAGTGCCCAGCCCCAACTTTGATATAAATACCTGAAATCAGAGGATATGTTTTGATGGTCAGGAGGTGGTGCTTGCTTCTTAGTACCAATAGAGCTGGCTGGGTCCACCTGTTCTTTGCGCTGGTCTCAGTTTACCTAGATTTAGCAGGCACTACTTTTACCGTCTGCAAGTCTGTGTGTGCCCTGCCCTCTAGCGGTACTGGGGTTACACTGCAGCAGTGACCTTGCGTGTACCTGATTTTACCTCTTGAAATTCTCCTTTCCTCCCTAGAATAGAGATATCCTTGCAATATTGGGAACTGGTGCACTGGGATTCCTGGGGCATCAAACTCTGGCCCGATCTGAGCCCTAGGGCAGTACTTTTCAAACTTTAGAGCGTAATTCTTTTTTTTTTTTTTGAGACGGAGTCTCACTCTGTTGCCCAGGCTGGAGTGCGATTGCACTATCTTGGCTCACTGCAAGCTCCGCCTCCCAGGTTCGAGCAATTCTCCTGCCTCAGCCTCCCAAGTACCTGGGATTACAGGCGCCTGGCTAACTTTTGTATTTTTAGTGGAGACGGGGTTTCACGTGTTGACCAGGCTGGTCTTGAATTCCTGACCTCAGATGATCCACCTGCCTCGGCCTCCCAAAGTGCTGGAATTACAGGCGTGAGCCACCGTGCCCAGCCCTTTAGGGCATAATTCTAATTCAGTAGTCTGGAGTGAGACCCAGGCATCTAAATTTTTAACAAGTACCCCAGGTAATTCTGATGCAGCGAACTTTAGGCTACATCTTCAGAAGTCAAGTCTGTAACAGCTTTCTTCTCTTCCGAATTTCCCTCTCACTGCCCCAGGTAAGCGTTTTCCCTGGATCCCAACGCAAGCACCTTTGGGCTTTGGGGAATCTCAGACCAAATTAGCCACTCCCCTTGGCCAACCTCAGTATTGGGTTTCCAGGAGGTCATGTCTTGGATAGTCAGGGACAGAGGCTGCAGCTGCCCCAGCAGTCAGCCCAGTTCTTGCTAATCTGGCAGGGAGAAAAGTAAAGGAAGCTTCACCATTTAGTGCACCAACTGCGGACCAGTGTGGCAGGTACTATGCTAGGTGTTTTCTTTTTTTTTTTTCTTTTTTTTTTTTTTGAGACGGAGTCTTGCTCTGTGCCCCAGGCTGGAGTGCAGTGGCGCGATCTCGGCTCACTGCAAGCTCCGCCCCCCCGGGTTCACGCCATTCTCCTGCCTCAGCCTCCCGAGTAGCTTGGACTACAGGCGCCCACCACCTCGCCCGGCTAATTTTCTTGTATTTTTAGTAGAGACGGGGTTTCACCGTGTTAGCCAGGATGGTCTCGATCTCCTGACCTCGTGATCCGCCCGTCTCGGCCTCCCAAAGTGCTGGGATTACAAGCTTGAGCCACCGCGCCCGGCCTGTTTTCTAATTAAATTTGTTTTTCGTCTTTTTTCTTTTTTTTGAGATGGAGTCACATTCTGTCACCTAGGCTGGAGTGCAGTGGCACTATCTTGGCTCACTGCAACCTCTGCATCGGCCTCCTGAGTAGCTGGGACCACAGATGTGCACCACCACACCTGGCTAATTTTTTGTATTTTGGGTAGAGCTAGGGTTTCACCATGTTGCCCAGGCTGGTCTCAAACTCCTGAGCTCAAGCAGTCTGCCTGTCTCAGCCTCCCAAAGTGCTATGATTACAGGTGTGAGCCACCTCGCTGGGCCATTTTTTATTTTTTATTTATTTTTTTAAGAGACAGGGTCTTGCCATGTTGCCCAGGCTGGTCTTGAACTCCTGGGCTCAAAGTGATCCACCTGCTTCGGCCTCCCAAAGTGCTGGGATTACAGGTATGAGCCACTGAGCCTGGCCAAATTTTGAATTTTTAAAAAATTTTTAATTGGTGAAATCCCTACAACAAACCTTGAATTCCTTATTCACCGCATGTTGTAGATGAGGGAAAATTATCTGTAACAATTTCACAGCTAGTAAGAGCTGGAATTTGAATCTAAGTGTGTCTAACTCAGTAGTTCTCAGCTGGAGGAGATTTTGGCCCCTAGGAGACATTTGGTAACGTCTGGAGATACTTTTGGCTGTCAAAACTGGGAGCTGGGGATGGGTGATGTTGCCACTGACATCTAGGACAGAGGCCAGGGACCACGTAGATGTCCTACTGTGCACCCAGTAGCCCTCCCACAAGAAATTATTCTACTTCAAATGCCAGTGGGTGCTGAGGTGGAGAAACCCTGGACTCAAAGCCTGTGCTTCTGGCCTTGGGGGTGGGGTCAGTGTTCAGAACAAAATGGAAAAGGGTCACCCCAAGGGCCGTGAGCGGGAAAGGGATGGGATTTCTATGCTCGGGATAATGGAGAATAAGGGCCGCTGGTGAGGCTTCGTTTTCTTCCACGTTTGGCCAGGGCCCTGCTCAATTTCTCCCTGCCTTGCCAAGTCAGTCCTAGGACTTCACACTAAGCTTGTCCTGGAGTGACCCTGACTCCCAACGCAGGATCGGGGCAAAATATTTACCTGGGTATTCCTGCAGCACTTCCCAGCCAAAGATGCTGGCTTTTGGGGCCAACATGTCCCACCTGCAGCCCTTGAGCAATTAGGACCCTTGCTGTGGGGGGTGGCCATGTGGGCAGGGCACTGCTGAAAGCCAAAAATGGAGTGGCCCAGGGACCAGGTGGCAACTGAGAACAGTTAGAAGTGGAGTGAATGTGGCAGGGCACAGTGGCTTACACCTGTAATCCCAGCACTTTGGGAGGCTAAGGCAGGTGGATCACCTGAGGTCAGGAGTTTGAGACCAGCCTGGCCAACATGGTGAAACCCTATCTCTACTAAAAATACAAAAATTAGCCGGGAGTGGTGGTGTGTGCCTGTAGTCCCAGCTACTCGGGAGGCTGAAGGAGGAGAATCGCTTGAACCCGGGAGGTGGAGGTTGCAGTGAGCCGAGATAGCGTCACTGCACTCCAGCCTGGGCAACAGAATGAGACTGTCTCAAAAATAATAATAATAATAATAATAATAATAATAATAATAATAAAATAGGCCGGGCGCGGTGGCTCACGCCTGTAATCCCAGCACTTTGGAAGGCCAAGGTGGGTGGATCACGAGATCAGGAGATCGAGACCATCCTGGCTAACACGGTGAAACCCCGTCTCTACTAAAAATACAAAAAAATTAGCCGGGCGTGGTGGCGGGCTGTAGTCCCAGCTACTTGGGAGACTGAGGCAGGAGAATGGCGTGAATCCAGGAGGTGGAGCTTGCAGTGAGCCGAGATTGCGCCACTGCACTCTAGCCTGGGCGACAGAGCGAGACTCCGTCTCTAAATAAATAAATAAATAAATAAATAAAATAAGTGGAGTAAATAGGCAAAACCAGGAAGATCCTATCAGCCCACGGAGGAATAGGGCAACTTGAGTAGGAAGTAGGGGGCGGCTGGCCTGGGAAACAGCGTTCTGAACTGCAAGTTTGCTTCCCATAGCCATTCCTCCTCCCCAGGCTTGGTCCTCGGGTTCACTCTACCCTCCCCGGCGCCAGCCACCATTCTGGAGCTCCCCAATACTGGCCTCCCCCTAGACCAGGGAGGATCTAGACCAGAGAGTCTGAATTGACTATGCTAACAGGAAATACCTCTTTCCAAGCCCAGAGCCTCTGAAGAACTAAGGAGTAGAGCGGGGTTCGGGTTGGGGTTGGGGGGAGACAGTCTTGGAGTGATAGGGGAAAAGAAAGAGCATACAATCACATCCCCCATGTTCTTTCCTTCACCACCCATGGGGGTGGATAGGGGGATGGAGGAGGGTAAGCAAGGAGGAGGATGTGGTAACAGCTGATTCGTCCCCTGAGGTCACACTTTCCAACAATCAGCTGTTACTGGGGCGCAAGGCAGGAAGTTTCCTTAAAGGCGCAATGTCCTGAACGCAGGCTCAGAATTCTGGAGCTCCAAGGAACTTTATCAATTACCTGATGGAGAGCGTATTTAACAGAGGGAAGGATCTCACCCTCCAGGCTCGTCTCTCCTGCTCAGTTACTCTCAGCCCTTATTTGGAGCTGAAGGAAAAGGCATGGATTTCGGTCCACATGTACCTCTTTCTGGGGCTTACGTGGAGTGATAAGGTGGGGTAGGCTTGCCCCTTTAAAAAAGCCGACCAACAGCTTTTGCCAAGTCATTGGGTTCATTTCAGTTTTTGCCCATCCCCCGCTCATCGAGACTCTGATTGGCCCCTGGGGAAGGAGCAGTCTGCTCATTGGTCTCCACCTTCGAAATCTCTTCCCTAAGTAGGCCTGAGTCAGTGAAGAGCTTTGGAGGGCGGGACTGAATGGGGGTTAATCAGAGGATGCGATTGCTGACCATTTGCACTTTGGCATGGCCCATCCCCTAATTTCTGACCAGAAGCCCTCCCTGTACCCTAAGGTGAGGACTGTGCTATGAATCTGTTGTTAGAAAGCTACCTCTTGGGAGGCTCTGGGGGCTCTTCTGGGACTGGGAAGAGACATCCCAGAAAAAAGCCTCCTCTGGTTAGGAAGGGCCCCCAGGAGGAGTGGGCTGGGTCTCTCCAGTGAAAGCTGGGCTGGGCGAGGTGAGCATCCTCCCTCCTCCAAAAGGCCTCGATAGCTCTCCAACGGCAGCCTCTGCTACCCTGGGGGCTGACGCTCTGTCCACTCCTGCTCCTTGGTCCGCGCCACCTTTCCTTAAAGAGCTATAGCGTCCCGCCGAGGCCGGCCAGTCAGTTTGGGAGATGTCTAAAAGAAGCACTCACGGCTCCAACAAGGAGGGGCTGTCGCCCTTTAAGGACTTCCCTGGGCCGGATTCCGAGCTCAGTTTAAAAATGCCAACTCACAGAGCGCACTGGGTTCTGGGAAGGAGGGTGTCGGGCTGAGAACTACACGGACCAGCATGCATTGCAAACGCAGACGCCGTGACTTTCGCCTGCTCTTTAGGACTCTCGTTTGACGTAGCGCTTTTCTAAGCGGGTCGCTGACGCGAAGGGCTGGGCCACGCCTTTCCGTCTATTGGCCGGCTCGTGAGTCGGTGGGCGGGGCTTGGTGCAATTCCGCCCCGCAAAAGGGTGGCCTCCTTGCCAATCAGAGCCAGGGCGCCTGGAGAGGCGGGACCAGGGCGAGGCCCCGGCGCCCCCGGGTGGGCGTGGCCACGTTGCCCAGCAGTGGGCGGTGATTGGCCCCGGGCGGTGCATTCGCAGCTCGTGCGTCACGACGCCGCCAGCTGATCGGAGCCTGGAGCCGGTGTGTGCTGGGCGCCGTGAAGAGACAGCGCCGCCGGCCGTGGGGAGAGGACGCAGTGATTTGCTCCCCTCTGCGCAGCAACCCCCACACCCAGCACCAGGTGGGTGTGAGCTGGCCATCCGGTCACGCAGCGGGGAACCGCGGTAACGGGATGGAGGGTGAAAGTGGGGTCCGGGCGGCCACACCCTGCCCTTCCGGGGAGGAGAGAGGGGGCGGCGGGGGCAGGGGCGCTTCGGGAAGAGGGGCCTGGACTGGCCGGGTTAGTGTGTCAGGAGCTCTGAGGAAAGAGTCCGGGACAGGAGTCGTGGCGGAAGGGCTGGCGGAGTGGCGGGGTGGGGGGAGCCGAGGGGCCGGAGGGCCGGGGGCGGCTCACCCGGCGGCCCGCGGTCTGAGGATACAGGGGTCGGCCATCTAGCCTGGGGAGGTTCTGGACCCCCCGAGCGGGCGGCGGGGAGGTGCTTTGCCTCTGTCGGCGTTCACTGGGTCAGAGCCAGTTCAGCGCCAGTTCAGCTCCCTGGCAGGGAAGGGGTCGCTGGGCGGGCCGGCCCCTCCTCTCGTTCCCTCCAGGGGATGTTATGTAAGGGGGGAGGGGAGAGGAGTAGGGGGCGGCGGTGCCGGGGCCTTATGCAACCCAAAGGTTAGGGTTTCACCGCGGTTGGGCGGGGGAAAGAGGGCAAGAGGAGGGCCTGGAAACTCTAGCCCCCCCTCCCCAGACTAACTGGCCGTCTTGGGCCGAGAGAAGGTCACCTCTGCACCTCCCCCCAGCCTGTCCGGTTGTGAGGCCCCTAGCCCAGGCCTGGCCCTGACTGCCTGGGAAGCCGGCTGGCTGGGTGGGGCGCCTGGGTTAGTCATCACTGGGCTCCCTCTCTCCCCACCTCCCGGCCAACTCTTGGCCCCTCCCCATGGCCTCCGGCGAGGCTGTCGCCCCCACCTCCCTCCGGCCCTGGTTCCAGCCTCCAACTCCTTTGGCCTGGCATCCTGGCTGTCAGACTGGGCTAGGAGCTGTCAGAGTGCCAGAGGGTTGATGGAGCAGCTGGTCAGAGGGTCAGTGCCCTGGGCCCACCCCGCCCTGCAGCCAAGGGCACCTGCTTGGCATAGACTCTCAGCAGCTGCTGACTCCTCTGAGTTGAACAGAGCTATCTCAGACAGAGGAAGGTCGGACGGAGTTGGACTGGTCACCCAGGGGAAGGAAGATACACAAAGTTCATGCCTCCCAAGAGGGTTTCGGAATTTGAACCACACCCCGTGTCCCCCAATCTTTCTTACCCTCTGAGTATAGAAATTCCAAGGCAAGACCGCCTTGGTCGCTCAGCCTGGCGTGGGCCATGCCCTTGGACTGAGTGTCAGCAGAGACCCGCCCTCCCCAGCTCACATCCCCCCAGCCTGCCACGCCCCCAGCCCCCTCCCTGGGCCATGCTGCAGGGCCCGGCTTTTCCTGCTGATTCATGCGTTGGAACTGTGGGGGCGGGGCTTGGAACTTGGAACAAAGTTCAGACATGGAGGGGCCGGCAGACAGCCTGGAATTCATACCAGATGTACCCGGAATGCGCAAGCGGAATGCCTGGCATCCGAGAGTCCTGGGGAAGCTGCCCAGCCACCCTGCTCATACCTCCCTCCCCTCCAGCCTGTGGTCCCCTGCCCGCCCCTCACAGCCCCAGCCACCCTGCCCACACCTCCCTCCTCTCCAGCCTGTGGTCCCCTGTCCGCCCCTCACAGCCCCGGGGCCTCTGCTGACCTTCTTTCAAACGCTAGGCCTCCTCCCTTCCTCACTCTTCCCCAATCCAGGCCCCCAGAACTCTCCTTCCAGCTGAACTCCCTGGGAACAAGTCATTTGGGCTGATGACTGAACTCATATTTCTGGACCTGAGGTACCACACTTCTAGTACCTGCGTGCTGGTGGGGTGTGTCCAGGGTCTCGGGCTCTGCTCTGTCTGAATGCTGAGGAGGCTGGGCCCCCGGGGGCTGCTAGGGCAGGGGTGGCTGAGAGCAGGACTGGGTTTCTCTAGACTCCAGTTCTGGAAAGAAGAGTAAGGGAAGGCTGTTTACAGCTGCCTCTTGCTGCTCACTGAGGCTAACAGCTTCTGCAGGCCCACATCAGAGCTGCCACCCTTCATTAGAATCTCAAAGGTCTACTGGGGAAGGACCCTGATGGCCAGTGAGTGGGTCAGCGTGGCAGGAACATGCCCTGCTCAGATCTTTCCCATTTTCCCTCCCTTTCCCCTAGGAGCCTGTTCCTCTCACACCCTCACCTGGCTGAGCCGCAGTAGTTCTTCAGTGGCAAGCTTTATGTCCTGACCCAGCTAAAGCTGCCAGTTGAAGAACTGTTGCCCTCTGCCCCTGGCTTCGAGGAGGAGGAGGAGCCGCTTTTCCCGTCATCTGGAAGGTGACAGAAATGGGCTGGGAAGGTCCGAACAGCAGGGTTGATGATACGTTTTGGGAAAGCTGGAGAGCCTTTGCCCAGATTGGCCCAGCAAGGAGCGGTTTTAGATTAGAGACACTGGCTGAATTGAGGAGTAGAAGGCTCAAACAAGCCCAGGTTAGTTGGTCTTTATGTGACAGTGGGAAGAAGTGGAGAGAACACTGTCTCCCCGACTTCCTTCTTGACCCTCCTTCCGTGTCTCTCATTCTTCCCCACTGGCCTTTCCAGATGAGGTCCGAAAGTAAGCTCAGTCTTCCAGGAAAAGTGACACTGAACCCGGGTGTGAGGATCATCCCTCTGCTCTTATTTTTCCCTGCATTTCCTTAGGCTGGCCCAGACTCTCGATTCCTGGCCGCTTACCTGTGTCTGAGACCCTTAGGCCTCCTGTCTCAGTTTCTCCACCTGTGAGATGGGCAGCCAGACAGATGAGTGTACGTGAGGGAGTCAGAAGCCCACCTGGGCTCTCGCGCCGCTGTGGGTGGGAACACACACCTTTTCACATAAGCTGTTGTCCCTCCCCCATCCCTGACACCATCACCCAGGAGCTGGGCAGGGTAATGGAAAGCTGGAGGAGGGGGTTAGAGTTAGACCAATGCAAGGAGCTAGGAGGAGCTCGCCTCTCCACGATGTCCCCCCATGCAAGGGTGGCCCAAGGCTTCCCCTGATATCCAAAGCAAGACAGCAGCCCCTTGGTGGGATTCTAACTGCCGCTGCCCTGTTTCTTTCCTCACTTTGCTTTCCAAGGTGGTGTGTGATCCCCAGCTCAGGCCTGTGCAGACAGGAAATTCTCCCCTGCAGCAAGCAGGGGAGGTGGGTTGTGGGATGTGACCTCCTTCTGGATATCAGGCAGTGTAAACCTGCCCCCTCCAGCCCTGATCCATTCTCACCCAGCGGCTACAGGAAGCTGTCTGTTCAATTTGGTGGGAGGAGATGTGCAGGGAGCTGTATCTTATCCTCCGCTTGTGAAAAACTCAAGGATGTGGAGAAGAGTAGACTGTGGAGCCCTGCCCTTCTGCAGCCAAGCTGAGTGGGACAGTGGTAGAGAGGAGGGGATAGACGCATAGGCTGCAACAAAGGTCACTCTGTTCCTGGACACTGCCTCCGTCCTTTCTTCTTGCTTCACTGGCCACAGCGTCTCCCTCCAGCCCTCGCATGTGCCTCTGCCATCTTCACCCATCATGGAGCAGAGGTGAGGAAAGGGAGCCTGGAAATGCGGAGACCAGTGAAGGACCAGGCCTGGAGAGCACAGGGTCCTACCTGGGCATCCAACAGGGGAGCCCATAAAGGCCAGGAGCACCCCAAAAGGAGGGAGGACAGCCAGCCTCCATCGACGGCGAGCCTCCAGCCCTCTCCTCCTCTGATCACCATTTCTCTCCAGGCTTTCTGCCTCCAAGATGTGGCACCATAGTGCAGTGCCCTGTGGCTTCACCGCCCTACTTCCACCTCCGCCCAGCCTGTCATGTTTATGTAAGCAGCCTCAAGGACCAAGAGCCATCTGCGAAAGGACATGCACAGGAAATTCATAAAAGAAATCGGAATGGATAAAACCATGAAAAAAATGGATGCTTCATTAGTAATTAAAGAAAGGCAAATAGAGCTGAAAGCATTTTTCCCTTAGCAAACCATAACAGAAAAAAATAAGACCCAATATTGGCAAAGAGACTACTGAAATGACATTGCCATATATTGCACGTGGGAGTATACATCGTATACGTCGGTGCAGGCTTCCTGGATGGCGGTTGGGTAATATGTGTCATGTAGCCTAAAAGCTCCACGTCCTTTGACCTATGAATTCTATCTTTGGGAATTTATCCTAAGAAAATAATTAAGGATTTAGTTAGTGATAAGATGTTCATCCCAGGTTTGCAATGGAGAAAAATGGGAAGCAATGGTTTGGTTGGGAATTCATTCCTTTTCTGCTGTAATGAAAGTTTGCAGTAGGGGATTTTGCTTAGGGAAATTATTGTATCTCCATCCAGATGGTGGGGTACTGCACAGACATTAAAAGTCATGTAAAAGAACATCTGACTGAAAGAAAAATACTCCTTGAATATTAAAAGGTTGTAAAAATAGTGCATGTTATGTGATCTCAATTTTGTCTTTTAAAGTATGGGTGTATACTTGTATACGTAGAGCAGATAAAAAAGACGAAAGGCATGCTAAAAAATGTTTAGTGGTTATCTTTGGATGGTGGAACAAAGTCACTGAAATTTTCATCTTTAGTTTTTCTGTAATTTCCAAATTTTCTACATTAATTGTGTATTGCTTTCCTATAATAAATATAATTTAAGAGATTGGTGTTATTATTTAAACCTTTGGAGAAGTGGGGGTAGAAGAATGGAGGGAAGACCTCAGCTTTTTGGTGAGAAGGTTTGGTTGGGATGCCTCTTCGTCTATGAACTTAATTCTTTGAAGTAGCTGGAATCCTTCCTCTTAGCCTGCAGGAAACAGCTCTGAATTGCTGGCTGACTGCTAGCTGAAGAGGTGTGGAGTGGAGTAAGGTGGAAGGAAAGCAGTACAAACCTGGGGCTCTTCAGGTGGTGAGGGGCTGGGGGAAACTTTTCCTCTTAAGGCTGGAGGGTTCTAGAATCTTAACAGCCCTGCTACTGAGAGCAGGACAGATCTGTTTTTCTCTTCTGACTCTGTCCCAGCCTTGAAGGGACCCTGTGTTACCTTTCTTTGCCCTTGGATTGTTAGATACCCTACCTACCCAACAGGTACCAGGCCCTTGGGGAAGGGGAGTGCTTTTCAAGACCGGCGGCCAGCGATTCCCTTTTGCCTCGTCTTCCTAATGAGGCTCCTCTGTAGGGCCAAAAACAATGCTGGGGGTCAGGGCGGGGCCCAGTGCGTCGCTTCTCCAACATGGGGGCTCCTGAGGGTTGTGGAAGCGGGGAGCAGAACTGCTGGAATTACAGGTTTTCTGGGATATGTTAAAGGCCTGGAAACCTCAGGAGGCAGAAGGGGTGGCTCCAAGAAAGTGGGGCGCCCCCTCCCCACCACGGATGCTGGGAGGGAAGTGGGGGCGGCGGCGAGACTCGGGCAGGCACGTGTGGGCTGCGCTGGCCTCTGCCTTCCAGGGTGTGGCGGTGACGCTCAGTAGGTGAAAGGCTCTGGAGCTGGAGGAGGAGGTCGAGGTTCGCGGGCGGGGCCCGGGAGTGTCAGGTGAGGTTAGACTGGAGACCCAGGTCTGCAACTCCAGCGCTTCAGGACGCCTGGAGCTGGGGAGGAACCCAATTGGTGAACATCCTGGAGGCCCCCCGAGCTCCAGGGTCCGGAGCCCCCGAACCGCTCCCCTGGCTGGGGCGGGACGCGATCGGTGGCCAAGGCTCCGGGGGTGGTGGCCCCGCGGCTGCTCCAATCACCGCGCAGCCGAGGGATGGGGCGTGGACGAGCAGGGAAAAGTTCCTGCGGATTTCGAAGGCGGGGCGGGGAGGGGAGCCGGGGGCCCAGCCCTGCAGGAAAGCGGGTTCCAGTCCTGGCCGAGAGTGCGGGCACCAAGCGGACAGACCTGGACCCCCCGCCCCCCCAACCGCTGCCGGGCCATGGCGCCCCCGGGGCTCCTGGTGGCCGGCGCCTCCTTCCTCGCGTTCCGAGGGCTGCACTGGGGGCTGCGGCGGCTGCCCACGCCGGAATTGGCCGCTCGGGACCGCTGGCAGTGGCGGAACCTCTGCGTCTCCCTGGCGCACAGCCTGCTCTCGGGGGCCGGGGCGCTGCTCGGGTGCGGGCTTGGGGGTTCAAAGGCGCACCAGGCGAGGGCGAGGGGTGGGAGGCTGAGGCCGGGAGACCCGGCGGGCGTCTCCAGAGTTGAGACTGGGGTAGGGGCGCCCACAGAGAGAGCGGGGTCAGGGCCTGGAGAGGCTAACCATGCCCCTCCCTTCCCCCTCCATACCCCAGCCTGTCACTGCACCCTCAGATGGCCGCCGACCCCATCCATGGCCACCCGCGCTGGGCCCTGGTGCTGGTGGCCGTGTCTGTGGGTAAGTCTGCAGGGAAGGCTGGGCCGGTGGGGCGACGGGGGGTGCGGGGGGCAGCTTCTGCTGTCCTTCGAGGTCCATTCCCCTCCCCCGTGGGGGTTAAACGTTCCTGAAGCTTTTACCAAGGGAAACCTAAGAACTGGGAGAGGGGCGGGGCGGGGCGGGGGGAGCTGGAAATCCTCTCTAAGCTGCCCAGGCTCTGAAGCAGCCTAACCCCTACCCTCATGCCCACAGGTTACTTCCTGGCAGACGGAGCTGACCTGCTGCGGAACCAGACCTTGGGCAAGACCTGGGATCTTCTCTGTCATCATTTGGTGGTGAGACTGAGGGGAGAAGCCAGACAGGAGGGAGGAGGGAGCCCTGTCTAACCTGAGCTTCCCAGTCTCTCCTCATTCTTTTTTTTGAGACAGAGTCTCACTCTGTCACCCAATTTGCGAGTCCAGTGTTCAGCCTCGCTCACTGCAGCCTTCGCCTCTGGGGTTCAAGCAATTTCCTCCCTCAGCCTCCCACGTAGCTGAACACCCACCACCACACCCAAGTATTTTTATATTTTTAGTAAAGATGGGGTTTCTCTATGTTGGCGGCTGGTCTCGAAATTCTGACCTCAGGTGTCCACCCACTTCAGCCTTCCAAAGTGATGGGGTTACAGGCCATGAGCCACCGCCCCTGGCCCTCTCTTCATTTTTCTTTTTTCTTTTTTTTATTTTTGAGACGGTCTCGCTGGCGCCCAGGCTGGAGTGCAGTGGCCAGATTCAGCTCACTGCAAGCTCCGCCTCCCGGGTTCACGCCATTTCTCCTGCCTCAGCCTCCCCAGTAGCTGGGACTACAGGCGCCCGCCACCCTCGCCAGCTAGTTTTTTGTATTTATTAGAGAGACGGGGTTTCACCATGTTAGCCAGGGATAGTCTCGATCTCCTGACCTCGTGATCCACTCCGCCTCGGCCTCCCAAAGTGTGCTGGGATTGCACAGGCTTGAGCCACTGCGCCCCGCCTCATCTTTCATTTTTCTAATCCTATCATTTCCCACAGAGTCTCTGCCCCCAGCTGGTGCTTGGCTCCCCAGTCTTAGGCTGAGTTAGGGGGAGGAGGTGGCTACTGGCCACAGCTGGGGAGTCCAGACACCCACCATACAAGGGCACCCACCATGTGAGCCTAAGGAGTTCGGGTCCCCCCACAGGTGTGCAGTTGATCATGGAAATGTGGAATATGGAGCTTTTCTGAAAAGGGGGTGCCCTAGTATAGGGTGTGGGTATGTGGTATGAAAGCCCTAGGCCAGGTGTAGTGGCTCACGCCTGTAATCCCAGAACTTTGGGAGGCCGAGGCAGGTGGATCACGAGGTCAGGAGATCGAGACCATCCTGACTAATACAGTGAAACCCCGTCTCTACTAAAAATACAAAAATTAGCTGGGTATGGTGGCGGGCGCCTGTAGTCCCAGCTACTCGGGAAGCTGAGGCAGGAGAATCTCTTGAACCAGGGAAGCGGAGGTTGCAGTGAGCCAAGATCACACCACTGCACTCCAGCCTGGTGACAGAGTGAGACTCTGTCTCAAAAAAAAAAAAAGAAAGAAAGAAAGAAAAGAAAGCCCAGGAATGGGAAGTTAAAGGGGTGTTAGGGGATGAGACAGCCCCTCCCTGGGCCAATCCTGGCTCCATCTATGGAAGGGTTGTTTCAAGGCTGCTCAGGGCCCCAGGATAAAGGTAAAAGCATAAAGGTCAGGTGTTTGGGGAGTCCCACAGAGTGCGTGGAAGCCTCTCTTAAGGCCTGGGTTATTGGGATATGATGGCTGGCAGGTTGTGGGGGGTCCTCTGACCTGTGACCCTGGCTCCCAGGTGGTGAGCTGCCTCAGCACCGCTGTTCTGTCTGGCCACTACGTGGGCTTCTCCATGGTGTCTCTGCTCCTGGAGTTGAACTCTGCCTGCTTGCACCTGCGGAAGCTGCTGTTGCTCTCTCGCCAGGCCCCATCCCTGGCCTTCAGCGTGACCAGCTGGGCCTCCTTGGCCACCCTGGCCCTCTTCCGCCTGGTCCCGCTGGGGTGGATGAGTCTGTGGCTATTCCGGCAGCGCCACCAGGTTCCTCTTGCTCTGGTCACCCTGGGTGGAATTGGGCTGGTCACTGTGGGCGTCATGAGCATCATATTGGGGATCCGCATTCTGGTCAATGATGTCCTGCAGTCTCGAACCCATCCACCCAGCCCCGGGCACGAGAAAACCAGGGGGACCAGGACACATCATAACGATGGACCTGTCACCAGGGACAATTCCACTCTCAGCCTGAAAGACTAGAGAGAAGCCATGGGCCCCTCGCTGGGGGAGGTGGGGCCAGGACAAGGAGATGAGGGTCTTCCATGCACAGTCCGCCATCGGGGTGAGGGCCAGACTGGCTCATCAGCATCTCAGTTTCTCTTCCAGCTAACTCACATCCCTTCCCCTTGCTAGGATCTAAGAAGAAATGCTGATGTTGGATGGGTGGGAATCTGGGTTTCTGTTCACTGAAATCCGTCATCAGATGACTGCCCTTTCCAGCAAATAAACTCAAGAAGTACAGCCAGATCTGTCAGTAAAGGGTGGCAGGAGGCATGCAGCTGGAACAAACTGCCAGTGGAGACAGAAGCTCTTTGCTTTAACCCAGGGACATACCGGGGAAGGTGAAGTCCCACTAGGATCAGAGAGATCTGGTATGGGGCGAGTAGGGACAGAGAAAAGAGATCTCACCTATAACCAAATTCTGGTAGGGGGAGGAAGGTAGAGGAGGTGCTATCTGTCCCGGCAGAGATGGATGTGATAGTTGCCAAGAGACAGAACCTGGGCCACAGCAATTGCTGCTAATATTTCTGGTTCTCAAAGCCACACTCCTGTTTTTCTTTCTTTCTTTCTTTCTTTCTTTCTTTTTTTTTATGAGACAGAATCTCACTCTGTCACCCAGGCTGGAGTGTAGTGGCACGATTCCAGCTCACTGCAACCTCAGCCTCCTGGGTTCAAGTGATTCTCCTGCCTTAGCCTCCCAAGTAGCTGGGACTACAGGCATGCACCACCAAGACCAGCTAATTTTTGTATTTTTTGGTGGAGAGGTTTCACCATGTTGCCCAGGCTGGTCTTGAACTCCTGACCTCAAGTGATCCACCTGCCTCGACCTCCCAGACTGCTGGGATTATAGATATGAGCCACTACGCCCGGCACACACTCCTGTTTTTCTGCTTAACCCTGATCCTACTGTGTCCTTTTAATTTTTTAAAATTTTTTAATTTTTTTGGTGTCTTTTTACTTTTCGTTTTTTTTTGTTTTCTTTTCTTTTTTCTTTTTTCTTTTTTTTTGAGACAAGTTCTTGCTCTGTCGCCCAGGACGGCGTGTAGGACTTGATCTTGGCTCACTGGAATCTCTGCCTCCCAGGCTCAAGCAATACTCCTGCCTCCCAGCTTAGCCTCCCAAGTAGCTGGGACTACAGGTGCACGCCACTGCACCAGGCTAATTTTGGTGTTTTCTTATAGAGACCAGGTTTTGCCATGTTGCCCAGGCTGGTCTCAAACTTTTGCACTCAAGTGATCCACCCACCTCAGCCTCCCAAACTGCTGGGATTACAGACGTGAGCCACCGTACCTGGCCTCTTTTGACTTTTCAAAGACAATTCGGATTATTAGAGGAATGAACACAGGGCTAGGTCTGTCTTCTTAGGATGGCACTGAAGTCCAGAATCACAGAAGGAACTCAAGCACCCACTTGGGTGCCCAGTACAGAGTTTTCCCAGGCTCAGGCTTTCGTGGAAGAATGAGGGCAGAGGCAGAGCGTGTGAGAGAAGGTTGCAGGAGGATAAAGGAATAGCTGGCCTTCTGGCCGGGCGTGGTGGCTCACGCCTGTAATCCCAGCACTTTGGGAGGCCGAGATGGGAGGATCACCTGAGGTCAGGAGTTCAAGACCAGCCTGGTCAACATGGTGAAACCCTGTCTCTACTAAAAATACAAAAATTAGCCAGATACCTGTAATCCCAGCTACTCGGGAGGCTGAGGCAGGAAAATCGCTTGAACCCAGGAGGCAGAGGTTGCAGTGAGCCGAGATCGTGCCACTACACTCCAGCCTGGGCAACAGAGTGAGACTCCGTCTCAAAAGAAAAAAAAAAAAGGAAGAGCTGGACCTTTTCTGAGATTCATTCATAAGCTCTTCTTCCCTGTTGCTTCTGCTGTGTTTTTTTTTTTTTTTTTTTTTTTTTTGAGACGGAGTCTCGCTCTGTCCCCCGGGCTGGAATGCAGTAGCCAGATCTCAGCTCACTGCAAGCTCCGCCCCCCGGGTTCACGCCATTCTCCTGCCTCAGCCTCCCGAGTAGCTGGGACTACAGGCGCAGCCACCACGCCCGGCTAGTTTTTTGTATTTTTTTTAGTAGAGACGGGGTTTCACCGTGTTAGCCAGGATGGTCTCGATCTCCTGACCTCGTGATCCGCCCGTCTCGGCCTCCCAAAGTGCTGCTGCTGTGTTTTTTTTTCTGTTGAACAAGACCGCTTCCTTCCCAGAACATCCAGGTGATGGGAAGTGCCTAGCAGATTAAGGCTGTTCTACTAAACAATGAACTGAGAGAGGCAACCCTTAGCCATCCACGGAAAAGGTACATGAGCAAAAGCAAGAGACAGGAAGATTGTCTTCAAAAAAACCTTGCTAAGAAGCGGAAGTACAGAAAGACACAAAGAATGACAGAGACAGACATACATAGATTGAGCGACAGATAGAAAGACAGAAGGATTATTCGCGTAGAGGTGACAGAGGCAAAAAGGGAGGGAGGGCAAAAGAGACAGGCCTTAGCAGAAATATAGAGAAAGGCTGTCATAGATGCTGAGAGACACCAAAGTCACAGAACTGATAAAATGGTTATAAACAAAAAGGACCAGAAAAATAGAAATAAAGGCCAACAAGAAGAGACCCCAAGGCTGAAAGGCACCCAGAGTCTAGACAGTGAACTAGAGTGAGTCAGCCCGGCAGGTGGTGGTCCTCATTCGTTCTGTATCCCAAAACTTTGGGAGGCCGAGGTGGGCGGATCACGACGTCTATCGGAGATCCAGACCATCCTGATTTAACACGTGAAACCCTGTCTCTACTGAATGGTGCAAAAAATTAGCTGGGCGTGCTGGCAGGTGCCCTGAGTCCCAGGCTACTCAGGAGGCTGAGGCAGAAGAAAGGCGGAACCCGGGAAGCTGAGCTTGCAGTGAGCTAAGGCCACTGCACTCCGAGCCTGGGCCGACAGAGCCAGACTCTGTCTCTCAGAAAAAAAAAAAGAAAAAAAAAGGGCCCGGCCGGCATGTGGCTCATGCTGCTAATCCAGGCACTTTACGGGCGAGGCCGAAGGAATGCTCCCCGGCTCCCCTCCCCCCCCCCCCCCCCCCCCCCTCCCTCTCTTCTTCCTCTCCCCCCCTTCCCTCCCCTTCTCCCCCCTGTGCGGACCACGAGGTCAGGTATTTGGACCATCCTGGCTAACACGGTGAGACCCTTGCTCTTTATCTATAATTATTAAAAAATTAGGCCGGGTGTTGGTGGCGGGGCGCCTGCTAGTCCCAGCACTTGCGGAGGCTGAGGCCCTAGGATATAAGTCGTTGATACCGGTGAGTCCGGATGTTGCCTTTTCAGTGAATAGTCTCTCGGATCTGCCAATGCCACTCCAGCCTGGGCCGGACAGAGCGAGACTCCATCTCAAAATTTAAATAAAGGAATAGAGTGAGTGACAAGGAGGAACACTCTCCAGGGCTCAAGGAGCGGATGGAGGAAATACTAGCAGATAGAGAGATCAGAAGATGCGCCGGGCGCGGTGGCTCAATGTCAAATGCCAGCCACTTTGGTTGAAGCGATTGACGGCGCGATCACGAGGTCAGTTGTAGTATAATGTAACCATCCTGGTTTACATGGGCTGAAACCGTCTCTTACTAAGAAAATACCCAAAAAGGTCGTGAAAGTGGCGGTAGCCCTGTATGCTGGTGGTACTCGGGAGGCTGGAGGCAGGAGAAATGGCTGTGTATATTTCGGGGTGTGTTCTGTGTTGTCTTCTCTTGCAGTGAGCTGGATCCGGCACGTTGCCACTCCAGCCTCTGCGTGTCTGATACTCTCTGAGGCTGTATGTTTCCGTCTCAAAAAAAAAAAAAAGAGAGGATCAGAAGAGCAAGGTGAGGAGAGGGGGCACAAAGAAGAGGGGGATGGAGTCCGCCGGGAGCTGAGAAGCGGTAAGAGGCAGAAGCCGGAGGAGGCAGTCAGTGGTGTGTATCTGATCTGAAGAGACCAGGAGTACGGGGACTGTGTGTGGCAGGAAAGACGAAGGGACAAACACGCTGCATATAAACCTAATGACATCCTAAGGCTTGGCAGTAACCGGTGTGCAGCAGACTGCGTAAGAAGGTAATGTGTCTCTGTATGAATCGGTGGTGAATATATATCTCTGATTGTATGCAAATATAGCAAAGGAGCTGGACAAAGAGAATCACAGAGAGAAAAAATGGAGGACGGGGCGCATAATGATTTAAATATCGCAGGCTGGGGCATGGTGGCTTCCCCCTGCATCCAGCCCCCAATACTGGGAGGCTGTAAAGGCGGCCTCTGTAATTCACCTGTTGGTCGGAGTTCGAGGACCAGCCTGGCTAATAGTACTCAGTCTCTTTAAGACAAAAGCGGGCGTGGTGGCAGGTCGCTGTAATCCCAGTCTACCCAGGAGGCTGAGGCAGGAGAATCGTTTTGATATTTCTGGTAGAGCGAAGTGTTCGTGAGCGAGATCGTGTCCATGCTTCCTCTAGCAGGTTGGTGACAGAGTGGTGGCTCCATGTCAAAGAAAAAAAAAAATGATCCTCAAAGGAAGGAACAAAGAAGAGGTTGGAACCCAGAGGATGAAAGGTTTAGAGAAGAATAAGAAATACCTCCCAAGTGTGTGTAAATAAAAAATGAGAGGTATGTGAGAGTTCTCACTTCATTAGAGCGTAAAAACAGCGCGCAAATGTGATGAAAAATAACGCAATCGAGACCTGACGGAAACACAGTCAAGAGGTAAACCAGCAGAAATAAGAGCAGAGCTCTTTTAAATTGTTAATTAGTAAAACCCAAGGAGGCGAAGTGTATAGTTAGGTGAGCTAGGAACAATGCTAGAATTTTGCAGAGGTCTGGTACTTTTAGCAGTCATATCTTTGCTGGAGCTGGACATGGTGGCTCACGCGCTGTAATTCGCCAGGCACATTTTGGGAGGCCCGAGGTAGGATGGGCGTGATTGAACTGAGGGAGTTCAAGCCGAGTCTGGGCAACATATTGAGACCTCCCTCTCTAAAAAAAAAAAAAAAGTTACTTTCTTTTTTCTTCTTTTCCTTTTTCCTTTTTTTTTTTTTTTTTTTGAGACAGAGGTTTCATTCTTGTCGCCCAGGCTGGAATGCAGTGCGCACATCCTGGTCTCACTGGCAAAGTCTGTCTCCTGGACTCAAGCAATATCGTCCTGCCTAGCCTCCCTAGGAGCTTCGGGATTATAGGTACCCATCCACACCTGGCCCAGTTTTTGTATTTTTTAGGTAGAGGCAGCGGTTTCAACCATAATTGGCCCAAGGCTGGGGTCTCAAACTCTGACCTCAGGTGATCGCCTGCCTTGGGCTCCCAAACTACTGGGGTTATAGGTGTAAGCCAACATGCCCGCTCAAAAAAAAATTTTTAAGTAAAAAAAAAAAGTAATATCTACAAAACTCAATTTGCCATCTTAACTGAA